TGAAATTTTGACTCACCAAGCTGTGAAAGCGTGAATATCAATATTGTATCATACTGTAAATTTTTATTATAGAACACAATGTAATCACAAAGCTTAAAATCAAACAGACCTTCGAAAGATGGTAGTAAGGACTGTGCAATGAATTTCATTACCTGTTTCTATCCCATAAATTTATTGAGGCATTGCTCCAAGATTTAAGATGAAGCATAATCGCGCACAAAGAAATTTAAAATGAGAATTTTTGCTTACATTTACAACATACATAAAGTCTAGACAGGAGATTCCAATGACTTACTTGATGGTTGTGCAGAAGCAGCTTGCTTCACTGCAGTACTCCCTGGTTTGGCAATCTTGCTAGGAGCCTTCAGCCCACTAGGTTTTAGCAGACTCATCCTTCCTCTTCGCTTCTTTCAGCCTTTGTCTCAAACAGTTTCTGCCAAACATCAAATCATCTGCACTGCTTTTAAATTCTGTGTATCATTTAAAACCTGAAAGAAATAATATTGTGGATTGAAAAAAAAACTATTTTACCTCTCATGAAATACACATTTGAATGAATTGTTGCAGGAAGCAGTACATAAAACAGCTTCCTCCTGACAAAGCACAATGTTCTTTTCCACATGCCTGAGCTCCTGTGAGTGACTCTTCAATGAGGTCCTCCCCTATTATCCTGATCTTGCATCCTGTCTTTTTTCCCCCAAAGAGACTGAAACACTTGAAAGATGACCATTTTTCCCCCCACCCCAAGCTGATTTTATTATTAATAACTTCCAATCTCAGAATTTCTAATTGCTATTTCTCACTAATTCAGAAAAGCAGCCTGAAATACCATAATTTCTATCAGTACCCAATTTATGAATGGGTTATTTTAAAAATCAGTTAAACCATTCTGCGTGTGCAGTCTTTGTCTGCAATGAGCACATGACCCATATCTTATATTCCCATTTTATACATGACATTGCCATAACCAGACTGACATTTTATCCTAAAACACAGAAGGCAGTTACTAGCAATTACACATTTTTAAAACAAAGACTGTAACATATGATTAAACCTCAGAGCTCATGTATTATTAATGACCACACTCCACAGCAACCAGTGATTAAAACCGTCTGAAACAGAAAATACTATTGGTGTGACTTGCTCAAAGAATCAACATATCTTTTGTTCAAGGTTCCTTGCAACACTCAATATTCGTATGAAATACAGTATCACTTTCAAAATGAGATTAAAATATTCACAAAACATTAATTATCTGAAAGCATGAGGGAGCTAATAATGTTCAGATAGATACAAATTCAGCACACCCCTGCAGTGCTTTCAAAATTACTGCATCCACAATCAGAAATGGAATGCTTAGATTTCAGTTACTAGACATTCACATTACAGACAGACACAAGACAGGCAACCTAAATTGTCAACTTTGTCATCAAGCCTCCATCCAAGAAAGTCACCTGAATAACAGAAACTCATGTTATTTGCATATCACTTTTTGCTCTTATCCTTCATCCAACTATCCTATTTAATCTGGAACTTTGACTCAACTATAAACCTTGGGAGTGAATTCCAATATGTAGGATATTTAGAGGACAGAAGATCAGCCTCACAAAAAATTAATCTTCTGTTTCCGTCCAGACTCCCAATACTCCTGTAGAGAACCTCTGCTCATCCTTTCATAACTATTTTAGCATCCTGTAATCTCTGCTGTTCATACAAATTTATCTCTCTAAAGATCTGAAGAGTGAAAACCAAAGACTTTGAAATAAAATCTTCAGAATTACATTTCTCGGTTTAAAAAAAATGAATACTTTGTATGGTTAAACAACAAACTCCAAAATGCAGAATGTGCATTTAATTCCCAATACAAATTTCCACCAACCATATTGGAACAAAAACCTTCCTCAGAACTGAGGGTCACTGGACCCGAAACGTCAACTCTGTTTTTTCCTTCACAGATGCTGCCAGACCTGCTGAGCTTTTCTACCAACTTTGTTTTTGTTCTTGATTTACAGCATCCGTAGTTCTTTTGGTTTTTGCAACCATATTGGATTGGTTTGATTGCCATAATTTTATTAAAAGTTTTGGAAATCACAGTCAAGATTGGGTTAGCAATCCAAAGCAAAACAGGTGAATTATACTGATGCTTATGCCACCGAAGAGAATTGCAATTTGCTAAATTAACTCCATTGTCTTCCAAGTGCCATACAGAGCTGGACCAGACCTAATGGTGTAAATTCACCATTGGTTGAGGTCGTTGACTTGTTCGCCGAGCTGGCTTGTTTTTGTTCAGACGTTTCATCACCATGCGAGGTGACATACTCAATGGAGCCTCCGACGAAGTGATGTTATTCTACTCCACTTGGAATTTATACTGTCCAGTCTGTTATGGTGAGTTACTGTCATTTCCGGTTTTGTTCTGTATAGGTTTGTATTTGGGGTCCAACTCTATATGTTTGCTGATTGAAGTATGGGCGGAGAACCATGCCTCCAGGAATTCCCGTGCGTGTCGATGTTTAGCTTGGGCTACAATGGTTACCTTGTCCCAGTTAAATTGATGGCCTTCATTGTCTGAATGTACCGATATTAAGGAGAGTTCATCATGCCGTTTTGCTGCCAGCTGATGTTCATGTATTTTGATGGCTAGTTTCCTTCCTGTAAGCCCGATGTAATGTTTGTGGCAGTCATTACATGGTATTTTGCAAAACCACATTTGTTGTGCATGTTGTGGGAATGGGGTCTTTAATCCTTGTAAGTGTTTGTCGTAGAGTAGCTGTGGGCTTGCGGGCCACCATGATTCCTAGTGGTCTTAGGGGACAAACAAGTACTCAAGACAGAATTATTTGTCACATGGGAAAATATTGACTTATTCAGAAAAGTCAGCATTGTCCAAGTTGGTGGAGTTTTTTGCAAAAGGTAATAGAGAAGAATGATGAAGCAAAGGCTGTTGAGATGGTGCACATGGACTTCCAAAAGGTTCACAATGCGACACAACATACTTGAGGAAAGTTATGGGTCGTGGAATAAAAGGTGAAGTAGAAATGTGGATATAAAATTGGCGGAATTTTATTTTTAAGGCTGGATAGGATGAATTCCCCAGGGGTTGTTAATGGACCCTCACTTTTCCTGACATATAAATTATCTAGACCTCGATGTGCAGGGCACAATGTGAGAGGTTGCTGCATATTTGCAAAAGTCATTGAAGGTGGCAGGACAGGTAGAGAGCATTCCAGGCATCATAAATAGTGACGGAAAGTACAAGAGTAGGGAGATTATGATAAACCCAACAGGACCCAATTAGAGATAGTAGGAACTGCAGATGCTGGAGAATCCGAGACAACAAGGTGCAGGGCTGAATGAACACAGCAGGCCAAGCAGCATCATAGGAGCAGAGAGGCTGACGTTTCAGGCCTAGACCCTTCATCAGAAAAGGGGGAGGGGGAAGGGGGTTCTGAAATAAATAGGGAGAGAGTGGGAGGCGGATAGAAGAGGGATAGAGGAGAGGATAGGTGGAGAGGAAACAAACAGGTCGAAATGGCGGGGATGGAGCCAGTAAAGGTGAGTGTAGGTAGGGAGTTAGGAAGAGGATAGGTCAGTCCAGGGAGGACGGACAGGTCAAGGGGGTGGGATGAGGTTGGTCGGTAGGAGATGGAGGTGCGGCTTGAGGTGGGAGGAGTGGATAGGTGGGAGGAAGAACAGGTTAGGGAGGCAGGGACGAGCTGGACTGGTTTTGGGGATGCGGTAGGGGGAGGGGAGATTTTGAAACTTGTGAAATCCACATTGATACCATTGGGCTGCAGGGTTCCCAAGCGGAATATGAGTTGCTGTTCCTGCAACCTTCGGGTGGCATCGTTGTGGCACTGCAGGAGGCCCAGGATGGACATGTCGTCTGAGGAATGGGAGGGGGAGTTGAAATGGTTCGCGACTGGGAGGTGCAGTTGTTTGTTGCGAACCGAGCGTAGGTGTTCTGCAAAGCGGTCCCCGAGTCTCCGCTTGGTTTCCCCGATGTAGAGGAAGCCACACCGGGTACAGCGGATGCAGTATACCACATTGGCAGATGTGCAGGTGAACATCTGCTTGATGTGGAAAGTCTTCTTGGGGCCTGGGATGGGGGTGAGGGAGGAGGTATGGGGGCAGGTGTAGCACTTCCTGCGGTTGCAAGGAAAAGTGCCGGATGTGGTGGAGCTGGAGGGGAGTGTGGAGCGGACAAGGGAGTCACGGAGAGAGTTGTCCCTCCGGAAAGCAGATAAGGGTGGGGAGGGAAAGATGTCTTTGGTGGTGGGGTCGGATTGCAGATGGCGGAAGTGTCGGAGGATGATGCGTTGGATCCGGAGGTTGGTGGGGTGGTACGTGAGGACGAGGGGGATTCTTTTTTGGTTCTTATTGCGTGGACGGGGTGAGGGATGAGGTGCGGGAGATGTGGGAGACACGGTTGAGGGCGTTCTCGACCACCAAGGGGGGGAAGTTACGGTCCTTGAAAAACGAGGACAACTGAGATGTACGGGAGTGGAATGCCTCATCCTGGGAGCAGATGCGGCGGAGGCAAAGGAATTGGGAATAGGGGATAGCATTTTTGCAGGAAGGTGGGTGGGAGGAGGAGTATTCTAGGCAGCTGTGGGAGTCGGTGGGCTTGAAATGAATATCGGTTTCTAGGTGGTTGCCCGATATGGAGACAGAGAGGTCCAGGAAGGGGAGAGAGGTGTGAGAGATGGTCCAGGTAAACTTAAGGTTGGGGTGGAAGGTGTTAGTGAAGTGGATGAACTGTTTGAGCTCCTCGTGGGAGCACGAGGCGGCGCCGATACAGTCATCAATGTAACGGAGGAAGAGGTGGGGATTAGGGCCGGTGTAGGTACGGAAGAGGGATTGTTCCACGTAACCTACAAAGAGGCAGGCGTAGCTTGGGCCCATGCGGGTACCCATGGCTACCCCCTTTGTCTGTAGGAAGTGGGAGGAATTGAAAGAGAAGTTGTTGAGTGTGAGGACGAGTTCGGCTAAGCGGATGAGGGTATCAGTGGAGGGGGACTGGTCGGGCCTGCAGGACAGGAAGAAGCAGAGGGCCTTAAGGCCATCTGCATGGGGAATGCAGGTGTAGAGGGACTGGACATCCATGGTAAAGATGAGGTGTTGGGGACCGGGGAATTGGAAGTTCTGGAGGAGGTGGAGGGAGTGGGTGGTGTCACAGACATTGGTAGGGAGCTCCTGGACCAAGGGGGAGAAAATGGAGTCCAGATAGTTGGAGATCAGTTCGGTGGGGCAGGAGCAGGCGGAGACAATGGGTCAACCAGGGCATTCAGGTTTGTGGATTTTGGGAAGGAGATAGAAACGGGCAGTGCGAGGTTGGGGAACGATGAGGTTGGAGGCCGTGGATGGGAGGTCACCTGAGGTGATGAGGTTGTGGATGGTTTGGGAGATGATGGTTTGGTGCTCAGGGGTGGGGTCATGATCAAGGGGGCGGTAGGAGGTGGTGTCGGAGAGTTGGCGCCTGGCCTCG